TTGGTTTGAGTAATTGCTCCAATGTTTTGCTACACATCCTTAATTTCAAAGAGTTAGAAGAGGCTGATGTCTGTAATTATATCTGTTATCTATCTAGCCCCAGATGGAGAAATCCAATCAGAGCATTTGCATCCTTTCCTTCTCCCTCCATCTCTCCATCTGCTCTGTATATTCTTTCCTCAATCGCATCAAGTTTAATCGTCCGTGTATCGACGGCATAATAATCTGCATTTTTCTTTACTCCTCAATTCCAGAACTCATTTATATTGTGCAGCGGTGCTTCTTCTATTGACAACGTGTACGCCACTGTTCTCATTCTCTTCCACTGCTGTGGGCTTTCTGAGGCATGCTTTTCCCTGCAGGCTGTCAGGAAGCTTCCTGAGTGCTTTCAGCTCCAAAAAAAGAAACTTCCTGTCTGGAGAGGAAGACTTCTGCCAGAAACACCCAACTCCTCCCCGCATGCCAAAGCATACATGACCCCCGGAGAGGCTGAAGGGAGATGTTGTAGTGAACCCTTTGGAATTACCTGAGCTTCTGAATTACCTGGTGATGAATCACAAACACAGTGTACGTAACGCCTCCACCCTGTTCTCATTAGCTTGGAGGCGTTGTGTTTGCTGGACTCATTGTGCTTTAACCAGCTTTCGGCCCTGAAGACACCAGAGAAGGTTAAAAGCTGCTGTTTTGCTGTCTGCATGCTCTTATTACACCTGCTGCTCTATTGTTGCTGTTGTATTAGTGTCCTAGAATATTTTCTTTCCCCATTTGAATCCTGAGACGTCGTGCTTTCAAACAACGGCTCAGAATCAGCCCATGTCCTCCAAGTACCGCCTCTATTGAACACATCCGTTAAACATTCAGAGTGCTGGTGGTGGAAGTGAGCGAATCCTGGGACTTAATATCTGGTTGAACCTCCTTTGGCAGCAATAACCTCAAACCGGCGCTTTCTCCGGCTCGTTTATATTTCTGGGATGTCCTTTGTGAACGGCTCCCTCGAGGTGAAGCCACAGTATCATCATCCTGAATGTTCAGAGTCTTCGTCCTGCTGCAACTTCTCCCGAGCGTCTCCGTTTGGATGATGTTTTCAGGTTGTTATGCAGCGGTGCTGTCCAGTATCAGGTCACGCTCTGGCAAACTTTGGCACCTAAATGATTTTTAAACTCATAAACTGAAATGCGAGCCAGCTCCACGGATTCCTTAAAGCCTTCAGATGTTTCTCTGCGCTTCTTTTTTTAACCCGATGAAACGCTTTTAGAGCCGTCTTATCTGGCGCCTGTTTCTCGGGCGAGCAGCCACAGTCCTGCATCATTTCCATTTCTTGGCGGTTTATCCAGCTGTGGACTGATGAGTGTCTCGGCACTCTGACATTACTCTGCAACCCTTTCCAGCTTTATGAAAATCAACAATTATTGATCCTAAGTCTTTTGAGATCTTTTTCTTTTTTTCTGAGGCTTGGTTCACGCTACCTCTGGACAGCAAATGCAAAGTGTTTGACTGTTTCTAAGTAGCTCTCCTCCACATTTCCAGTCTTGTTTATTGATTTGACCCCATGGTAGCTGACTTCTGACTCCAATTCTCTTTTATTGACGCCCTAAGCTCAGGAGTTCACATGCTTTTATTTCCCCCAATCTGCACTATGAAACTTGAGTGATGCATTCAGTGAAGACGAGAACAATAGATTTGTCCGTGTTTTACAACAAATGACACACAATCCAGACGTTTTCTTTTCTTTTTACTTTTTCTTGCCTCTGTGTGTAAAGCTGACTCCACATGTTGTGTCAAACATTTAATATTCTTAAGAAAATGCAGCTATTAGTCATTGATTGCATTGAAGAGGAAATGTAGAAATGAAGTAAAGAAGACCGCGACGTTCCCAGCGCAGTCCGACAGCAGATAGCGGAGACAATAAATGAAGAAAGGTCGCTTCAAAAGCGAGGTATCAAAACTGAATTGATTCCCCGACACGTCTTTGATGAATTCTTCGTGTTATCTGTAGCTGTCGGCTTATCGGAGAACAGCACTCCAGCTCTTGTAGCTCACGAGCTGCTCAGTCGCCTGCAGGATGGCGTCGTGTGCCACGCTTTCTGGAGGAACTAATGAAAAAATGAAGACCATATTTCTGCTTTGAGATATTCTGTTACTGCTTCTTTCTGCATCTTCTGTCTTTGCACCAATCAAACCTCTTCACAACTTTCACACGCTTGATATTCGGAGAGTTTGTTGTTTTTTTATATTCCTGATTTGCGGGACTGAAACAGAGCTTTGTGCAATCTTTTGTCTCCTGCAGACTTTAATTTAACTTTTCTTTTCTGTGCATCTTCTGCTGACACAGACATGAACTGACCGTCTGAGACACTCTGGCTGGATCAACAAACTATTCTCACCTTTTTTTTCTGTTGTATCCAACCTGGGTTTACATAAAACTGAATAAAATCTGCAGAGCACCTCAGTTCCCTCCTGATTTTTCCCGGTTTCGAGTCTTTCACATCCTCCTCTCACTCTTTCATTTTTCATCTGTCTGCTCAAAATAAAACATGTACGCCGTGTTCCCTTTCTTTTCCTTCCAGGTCACTTCTTTCAGCGTCACTCTGCTCTCTGCCTCTTTTATCTTTCACCGTTCCACCAAGGCCAGAAGCCGAGCTGATTAGCGCCGCGTTGTTTTAGTTTTTGGTGTTGAGCACCTTACATAAGCCCTCACATGATCCGCCGTTTAAAACCCACATCTTCACCGAAACGCTGCCATGACAGCAGAGCCGCTGTTTTCAATAATGTAGGAGGAACATTGTCTCTCTCGCTCCGACATTAAAGTGGTGTTTATTTTCTAAAACAATTATTTCAAAGGATGTGGGTTTTAGAAGGTTGTAGAGAGTGTAGGAGTGACTGGAGAGAGAGAAGGGAACAGAAACTACAAACGAGAGCCACCTTGTATGACTGAAATGGAAAAGATGAGGCTGAATGAAGCGTCGCATCTCGTACGCTTTACTTCTGTTTGTTCTGTTTTTACTGAGCTCAGGTGTTGTTTCCTCTGTGAAGGTGAAAAAAAGACACTTTCAACATCTGAATAATAATAATAATAGTAATAATAGTAATAATAATAATGACTGAGCCAGCTGGAGTCTAATTAGTTCTATTCAAACTGACAGGAAATGTAATTAATTACTACGTCTGTGTGTGTGTGTGTGTGTGTGTGTGTGTGTGTGTGTGTGTATAAATGTATACGTG